CACTGCATAGTGTATGATCATCTTCATTACCATCATAGCACACTGCATAGTGTATGATCATCTCCATTACCCTCGTAGCACACTGCATAGTGTATGATCATCTTCATTAGCCTCGTAGCACACTGCATAGTGTATGATCATCTTCATTACCATCATAGCACACTGCATGGTGTATGATCGTCTTCATTAGCCTCGTAGCACACTGCATAGTGTATGACCATCTTCATTAGCCTCATAGCACACTGCATAGTGTATGACCATCTTCATTAGCCTCGTAGCACACTGATTAGTCTATGCCCATCTTCATTAGCCCTGATAAGGTAGAAATCTACGACATTAAACCCCATTTTATTTAATCTCATTTTCAATAAATGTACAAAAACAAAATTAGAATACGGCACTTACAGTAAATCGACTATAAAAGAATACGGTAGCTTAATAGTGACAACAGATTTTTCATTGCTGTTTTTATCGCGTAGTCATTAAATTATATAGGGGCCGTTATTTATTTAATTATGTTCTGATAATGTTTACGGTCCTCCACGTAAACAATAAATTAGATTGTTGTCGTATGATTATAGATATTTTCCATATAAACTGTGAATATATTATTAGTATCCTTTCATGTCTCTGAACCTTTGATGATTAGCTATTATCCTCGGACTAGTGAATGACGAAATAAATTAGTCCTAAGGTGTGGTTTCCCCTTGTCAGGCAAGGTACGCTGTCTAGTCATTTGGATGGTTAGAAAAACTGAGGTCTTGTGTACACATTGGCATGCAGATACAGAACCCTTAACAGTTAGAATATGAAATAAGATTGGGCTATAGCGCTGATGTCCGGGCAGACAGCGCACTACATGATTGTCATTTGTGGAATTTTGAGGCCCTAGCAAACTACAATAATGTGAAAGCTGAATCTCTAAAAGGAATATCAGTTCAAAAATGGTTAAATCTGATCAAAATACAGATGTATATTTCATTTTTTTTTTTTATACTTTCGATGGCCTCTACTACATGAAGATCGGACCGGTTGTAGTGGAAGGTTGTGTCAGAGGTCATACAAGGGCCTTTTGATCTATGACATCAGACATTTGATTACCCACATTTCCATGCACCTCGTGACAAAAACTCGCCGTTAATCCCTAACATCATCCAGAACGCGGGTTATATAACAACTGTTCCAGATCCTAGTGAAGATAAAGACAAGTAAAACGAAATTTTAAAACATAAAAAATGAAACGAAAATAGGATCTGTGTTTTAATCAGATTGAAAATGGTTCTGATCCTAGTGTAGTAAAGGCAAGTTAAACAAAATTTTGAACTATAAAAAAATGAAACGAAAATAGAATCTGTGTTTTAATCAGATTGAAAATGGTTCTGATCCTAGTGTAGTAAAGGCAAGTTAAACAAAATTTTGAACTATAAAAAAATGAAACGAAAATAGAATCTGTGTTTTAATTAGATTGAAAATGGTTCTGATCCTAGTGTAGTAAAGGCAAGTTAAACAAAATTTTGAACTATAAAAAAATGAAACGAAAATAGGATCTGTGTTTTAATTAGATTGAAAACAGTTCAGTTCCGTATTCAAAGATGAATTAAAGATCTAAACCAGGAAATTATCTTCCATTTATTTTGTTTACTTGCAAGAGCTAAATATGCCTATTGCGGGTCTTTCTTGAGGCCTGAAATGTTTTATAAATTATTAATTAGACATTAATTAACTTATCCAGACCATAATCAACTCTTGATGCTATCAGATAGCTCTGTTTTTAAGTAGATTAAAATGGCTCAGTCATATAATGATTTAATTTAAAAATGGATACTCAAGAGTTTGTCAATTATCTTAACAATGGTAGCAATGATAATGGAGACTACACTGTTCTTCTAACACTGATAACTTGGCTCAGAATGAATTAATTTGACTGAAATTTTCAACTATTATAGTGAAAACTGTCAGCTCTTTATCTAATCTTACATAATGCCCCTTTAATTAAATGTTACAAAATCAATTTGAATACATTTTAGCGTGGATTAAGCCAAGAAAATTTGTTTTTTCTGAAAAATGCAAATGACACCCAGAGGTTTTAATATTGAATTAAATGTGAGCCATGTGGTATATGAAACATGTGAGCCATGTGGGTTGTGTGGTATATAAAACATGTGAGCTGTGTGGTATATAAAACATGTGAGCTGTGTGGTATATAAAACATGTAAGCTGTGTGGTATATAAACATGTGGGTTGTGTGGTATATAAAACATGTGAGCCGTGTGGTATATAAAACATGTGGGTCATGTGGTATATTAAACATGTAAGCCATGTAGTATATAAAACATGTGAGCTGTGTGGAATATAAAACATGTGAGCTGTGAGGTATATAAAACATGTAAGCTGTGTGGTATATAAAACATGTGAGCCATGTGGTATATAAAACATGTGGGCCATGTGGTATATAAAACATGTGAGCCGTGTGGTATATAAAACATGTGAGCCGTGTGGTATATAAAACATGTGGGTCATGTGGTATATAAAACATGTGGGCTGTGTGGTATATAAAACATGTGGGTCATGTGGTATATTAAACATGTGGGTCATGTGGTATATTAAACATGTAAGCCATGTGGTCTATAAAACATGTGAGCTGTGTGGTATATAAAACATGTGAGCCATGTGGTATATAAAACGTGTGGGTCATGTGGTATATAAAACATGTGAGCCGTGTGGTATATAAAACATGTGGGCTGTGTGGTATATAAAACATGTGGGTCATGTGGTATATTAAACATGTGGGTCATGTGGTATATTAAACATGTAAGCCATGTGGTATATAAAACATGTGAGCTGTGTGGTATATAAAACATGTGAGCTGTGAGGTATATAAAACATGTGGGCCATGTGGTATATAAAACATGTGAGCTGTGTGGTATATAAAACATGTGAGTCGTGTGGTATATAAAAGATGTGAGCCATGTGGTATATAAAACATGTGGGCCATGTGGTATATAAAACATGTAAGCCATGTAGTATATAAAACATGTAAGCCATGTAGTATATAAAACATGTGAGCTGTGTGGTATATAAAACATGTGGGTCATGTGGTATATAAAACATGTGAGCCGTGTGGTATATAAAACATGTGAGCCATGTGGTATATTAAAGTAAATAAGGTTAGGGTATATTTTATGAACAGACTGTTGATATTTAAATGTGTATTTATTAAAAGTGCAAGGAGAGATTAAGTATATTATTATAAATCAGGTCAGGTTGTATTTCGAGACAGAAATGGAATCAATATAAATATTGAAACCATCTGGCACACCTCAACAAATAAATACAGGTAGCTTGTTTTTAGATATCTAGATCTAGGTTAAACGGAAAAATATAAATGCGTCATTATCATTAGTATATGTAGTATTGCAAGTACAGCAGTACACTGGAGTGCCTATCTACACAACCAGTTGGGGGGGCGGGTTGGATGGCGGAATGGTTGGCGCGTGCGCGTTGTATCATAAGATCTGTCATTGAGTCAACTGGCGTGGTTTCTATTCCTCGGTTGTAAGTGATAAGGAATAGGGTTGCCTGTCTAATATTGTGGGTTTTCTCCGGGTCCTCCGGTTTCCTTCTAATGCTAAAAACCTCTATGCTCAAACGAATTATTGAAATAAAATTGAAACATGTGTTATTCCCGAAATGACCTAGTTTGTGTCATGTGGATGTTAAACCCCATTTCTCTCTCTCTCTCTCTTTCTCGGTAACTTCATTCCGATATTTTACAATGAGAATCTAAATGACCAAGGATTCAATGATGTAATGATGCGATTCTATCATTAAATCATTATAAATGCTGAAACCCAGGGAGTCAATGTTCTGATTTCTCGAGGGTGTTTGTTCAGAACAATTTGACAAAAAATCCCTGAAGGCCTGACATCCCTTATCTGATTCTGACAAGTTACACACGTAAAATTAACAACGAACTGTCAACTTATTGATCTGTAGTTTGAATAAATATTCAATTGGATGCCTAGTTTACCTTATCCCTTCACCCCCGCACTCTATTAGCTATAAATCAATGGAAAATAACAAGTACTGGTTCAATACACTTCTCGAATCTGTCTCAACGCAAATACACTAGTTGTTGACATCTTGATACGTGATTGACAAGGCCATGACCTAACTTCTGAAATAAAAATGAAACGGGGTTTAATGTCCCCTCGACACAAACTAGGTCATTTCGGGACAAACATATGGTTTAATTTTATTTCAATAATTAGCAGTGGGAGGACCAGGAGAAAACCCACGAAGTTGGACATGCGACCCTCTGAAATAAAAATAAAATGAAATGAAATGGGGTTTAATCTCCTACTGTTCTGCTCCGAACAGGGCTAATGAAGACAGGCATACGCCATACAGTGTTCTATGAGGGAAATTTTGCCCGGGCAGCGGCACTATGGCCTACTCTTATATCAAATTCCAACTGCCAAGTGTTCTTTATGTGCATGCCAAGCCAATATTTTGACAGGAACTCGGTTTTTCATCCCATCCAAATGACTATTCATTGTCCCACCAGGCGCTCTGTCCTATAAATGTTTAATAACTAATGGTATAATATAGATATAGACGTGTTTACTTTTTTGTCTGCCCAACCTCGTGGGTTTTCTCCTGGTCCTTCGATTTCGTCCTACTGCTAAAGACCCCTAAGCACAAACAAATTATTAAAATGACCTTGTTCCATATGTTTTTCCTGAAATGACCTACAGTGTACTTTGTTTTGAATGCCTTTAATCCTTAATAGTAAAGTGTTGTCTGTTATATCTTTATTTCATTGTGCAGTTGTCCTGTATTTCCTATTATATATCTGGTTAAAAACCAGTAAGAGATAAGATCATATTATTAAATGATGTAGATGAAATAAACGTAGAATTATTGATGTTTTTATACAGTGAAAACCTGGTGAATATATTCCAATCAGCTGCCACTACACACATACAGAGACCGACAGCAGCCCTATAATACTGAGTGAACTGCCAGTGGTGTAAGACAGATTTACTTCTAGTTCTGTTTTCACTTCATTTAGATGTTGGTGAACCGTTTGGTTTGTCTATCAGTCATTTTGTTTTAAGTGATGTCCTGGGCTTTATACAGAGTTAACTCAGAGCGATACGAGATCCACAGAAAGCCGTTTGGATAGACTTCAATAATAAAAAACTTTATTAAAAAATCAGATTTAAATCCATGTCAAGTCCAGAAGATAAACCAGCACGGAATAAAACTTTATTAAGGTAAGTTGATTTTCTTTTTCAAGGGTCGTAGACAGCTGAGGTAGATTTTTTATTTGGATATTGCCCAGGCAGTGGTAAACTGTAGGTTGAGAGAAAGGTAACTTGGAGTATGGTTGGGTTCTTTGGGGGTTTTTCTCAGAGAGAGAGAGAGAAAGAAATGGGGTTTAACATTCACTCAACACAAATTAAGTCATTTCGGGACTAACACATGTTTCAATTTTATTTCAATAATTCGCTTGCGAGTAGGGGTCTTTAGCAGTTTGAGGAAATTTTTTTTTTTTTTTTCACAAAGTTCTTAAACTTGGATACACTGCAAATTATTGCCCACCTTTCCCAGTGATTTCTGAGGATGGACCTATTTTTACTGATTGTTCAAAAATTTGATAGAATCATAAAAGATATGACAGAATTGGGAGGACCAGGGGAAAATCCATAAGGTTGGACAGGCGTCCCTACTCCTTGTCATGTACAACCGGGGAATCGAAATCATGCCAGTTGACTCAATGATCTTACGATACAGTGCGCACATGCTAACCACTCTGCCATACAACACACACACACCCAGCTCTGGGCCAGCAGGGGGATGTCCGACACACTCCTGTGGTATATATACAAAATTCAAATGGAGTGAAAAAAATCCATTTAATTTTATATTTTATCTCCTTGAAATTACCTGACAGTCTGAAGGGAGGGGATCATTGAAGAAGCTAATGAGAAGTATTTAACAAGCTTAATAAACTTGCTAAGAAGCTGGATAATCTATTCAACATGATCGGAAGTGACTTCGTTATTGTAATTATTTAACACTAGAGTAGAAGTTTAATTAGCAAAGAACTTGTTAGAAAAAAAAAAAACGATACAGGCAATTAAACGATGATGATAACAGAAATGTAATATAACGCCTATTTATCATTCCTGTACCCCACTACACTGTCTGGTTTGAAATCTGAGAGAATCACAGACTCCTTGTATTCAATCCAGTAACAATTCTGTATATTAAAGTTAACTGACAGGGGGTATTGAGTGTGAGGTGGTGGTAATTATGAGAATTACTTGCCAGGGGACATATAGAGCTCAGGAGTGGAGACTAGCTAAATATTATAGTCCAAGAGCCAGTGACGAAAAAACTGCCTCATAAGTAATAGAAGGTTTGACCATATTAATTGGCAGCTATTGATAGGGTAAATTCAAAACACCCAGTCTTACGAGGTTTCAGTGGGGCATTTGGCTGGGAGGGGCAGATAAAAAAGGCCAAGAAGGGCTCAAATTTGCCTCGTATGTAATAGGATCAGAATTATTTCTAAAATATTGCAATACAATGTATGAATTAAAAAAATATAAATCTGACCGGAAAAAGTGGGGCCATGCCCTTTTCTGATTGCCTTAAAAAGTGCCGACGGGGGTCAAAATTTGCCTCATAAGTAATATAGTTGAAATTAGTGCCAAATGTTACCTATGTATGAGCTAAAAATATCAAATCTGACTGGTTTTAGTGGGGCATATCCATAATCTGACCACTTAAAATCTACGTACCCAATCTGCCACGCCCACAAAAAATATCAAAATTTGCTTCATATCAGTTGATTATTACAATGAATTGTCAGGAATGGGGGTGCGAGGGGGGGGGGGGAGGGGGGCTGGGATGATCAAGATGGTGGTCAGTCTGCCTTAAAAAGCACTATTGTAAATGAAGTATCCTATTAAATTGATACAAATTACTAATCTGTATAATGGAGCAGTGGGACGTTAAAATCCCATTTCATTTCATTTTATTTCATTTTATTTCCTAATCTGTATAAAACACATCTTTCAGATGTTTCAGTTCTTTGATTTTATTGCCAGTGGAAAAATCACTAAGTATTAATTCTTCTTGGGATATTGTTTTCCATAATGTTAGTCCCAAGAATTGACATGTTAGTCCCAATATAACCTACAAGAGCTAACATATTAGTCCCAATATAACCTACAAGAGTTGACATGTTAGTCACAATATAACCTACAAGAGTTGACATGTTAGTCTCAATATAACATACAAGAGCTAACATATTAGTCCCAATATATCCTACAAGAGTTGACATGTTAGTCTCAATATAACCTACAAGAGATGACATGTTAGTCTCAATATAACATACAAGAGATGACATGTTAGTCCCAAGAGTTGACATGTGAGTTCCAAGATAACCTACAAGAGTTGACAGGTAGATGTATCAAGATGAACTAACATCTATTAATAATAATAGACCGAATGTTGTTCATTACATAGTTTATCTAACTCATGTAGAAATGTCTGGCATTACTTCATTCTCTTACTGGAAGCACATGTCATATAGCCAGACCTAGAGTCTCAGAATTACAGAAATTACTGGAATTACAGTCCTCTCTATGGCACTGATTGGCACTGTTTCAAACAGCATCTTAGGGAATCACAGGTCAGTAAATTACTATTTATGTTGATGTAGTATTATCAGGAACCATTTCAAATGATACTTGTAATCTCAGGAATAGAGTTCTTATATAAAACAAAGGTCATAATTCTATGGAAAACAATTATTGTTTATTACTGAGCAACATTTTGACTAGGCTTTGCTGGTCTTTTTTATAACTTAATGAAGTTTAAAGAAGCCCAGTCGAAACATCGCTCAGTAAAGTTCACAATGCTATGGAAAACAATTACTGCTTATTACAGTGCAACGTATCGAGTAGGCTTCGCTAGTCTTTATCAAGCATCGAATTGTTATCCGAGTATTCCTGTGCCATTGAAACATTTCTTAAAAGATATAAAGGGGGGATGGGGTGGTCTAGTGGGATCATAAGGTCTGTTATTGAGTCAAATGATGTGGTTCTGATTCCCAGCTTGTATGGGACAAGAGTAGAGTCACCTGTCCAACCTTGTGGGTTTTCTCCTGGTCCTCCGGTTTTCTCCCACTACTAAAGACCTCTACATGCAAACAAATTATTGAAATAAAATTGAACCATGTGTTAGTCCCGAAATGACCTAGTTTGTATCGAGTGGACGTTAAACCCTGATAATAAAGGAAATTGAATTCTGTGGAATCTGATTAAAACACAGATCCTATTTCGTTGCGTTTTTTATAGTTTAAAATTTCGTTTTACTTGTCTTTACTACACTAGAATCTGGAAGAGTTGTTATATAACCTGTGTTCTGAATGATTTCTTGGCATGCTGTGCACGGAACTGTGGATATTCCACTAGAATCATTAACGCTGATTGTTTAATCAAATGTCTGACGTCATAGGTTCAAAAGCCACACATATGACCCCCTGACACGACCTCCCACTACAACTGGTCAGATCTTCTTGTAGTAGAGGCCATAAAAAAAAATGAAACGAAACGAAATATAGATCTGTGTTTTAATCAGGTTGAATACTGGGCCCTTAAACTAAGATACAATCAAAATTTTAAGACATACTGCAATTCGATTGGCTGACCAATATGCAAATTGGATATATGCAAATTGATTTTACTGGTCAGCCAATCGAATTGCCGTATTTCTTAAAATTTCGATTGTATCTTAGTTTAAGTTTTCGTGAATAAGGACCCTGTTTTTTAGTGGGTTCAGGTAGCTTGGTTCATTTTGATATTTTAGAATGTGTGTGCTATATTCATTAAAGGCTCAATACCACTCTTGTTGTAATTGAATAATATGTCCCAATTTTTATTCTGGTCAACAAATTGTACTATTATACAATATTCCAATTAATTGATGATACAAATTTCATCTTAACACACCTTATTTAGAAATTTTGAAAAATTCAACATAATGGTTTGAAACGTCTAACGTAAACCTTTTCAAATGAAACTTTGATTTAAAAATATTTTCGAACCCTCTGGACAAGTAAAATAGGATGTAATGGATAATTTACACAACAGGTAGGACACGTAAACATCTAGTACTTAGATAGAGATATTATTTATTTTCTGGAGCTTTCAAGCCAGCAAGAGTGTTATTGTCCCTTTAACGGTGTGTTCTATGTTTTCTTAATCAGTTCAACTGCATATTCCATTAGACATGATTTAAGAACACTGAAAACAGATACATTGTCCTGAAAGTATTTATCGGGTGGTTATTCCATTAGACATGATTTACGAACAGTGGAAACATTCACATTTAATATTTAAAATATATTAAAGGGACAATAACACTCTTGCTGGCTTGAAAGCTCCAGAAAATAAATAATATCTCTATCTAAGTACTAGATGTTTAAGTGTCCTACCTGTTGTGTAAATTATCCATTACATCCTATTTTACTTGTCCAGAGGGTTCGAAAATATTTTTAAAACTAAGTTTCATTTGAAAAGGTTTACGTTAGACGTTTCAAACCATTATGTTGAATTTTTCAAAATTTTGAAATAAGGTGTGTTAAGATGAAATTTGTATCATCAATTAATTGAAATATTCTAAAATAGTACAATTTGTTGACCAGAATAAAGATTGGGACATATTATTCAGTTACAACAAGAGTGGTATTGAGCCTTTAATGCTGTTTGCACTTCAGATTAGAGAAAAGTATGCGATAACAGCTCTATGGCAGTACTAACTGATCATTCTGAACTAAGAGACTTAGTTTTTGTGCAATGGTTACATACGCTGATTGTGTTTCCATCACTGTATCTCCATTCCAAACTCTGGAAGGGGCGGGGATGGCTGGATGGTTAGCGTGTGCGCTCTGTATCATAAGGTCAGTCATTGAATCAACCTTTTTTAAAATAAGGGATAAAATTGTCATCACTTCTATATGCTTAGTTTCTTTTGGGAAGCGTGGTTGGATGGCTGAATGGTTAGCACATGCATTGTATCATAAGGTCAGTCATTGAATCAACTGGCATGGTTTCGATTCTCCCGGTTGTACATGACAAGGAGTAGGGTCGCCTGTCCAACCTCGTGGGTTTTCTCCGGGTCCTCCGGTGTCCTCCTACTGCTAAAGACCCCTAGTTTGTGTCGAGTGGACGTTAAACCATATTTCTCTCTCTCTCTGTTT